GAGTAGTGCTTGTCTGCTATCTGTATAGATGATCATGTACCTTCCAGTGATATTGTTCCTGGTAACTTTTTTGATGATATGAGAATCTCCGTGAGCTTGGTTTGAACTAAACTGGCACTATTGTTCACAGCCAATTGTATGTTTAGGTTTAAGAATCTGGCACTTCAGGCTCTTTTATTTATTAGGGTATAACTTTATAGGGCTTATGGAAGATATATCTCTGTGAGAAATGACTCGTATCGAGCGCCACCCGCCAAAAGCGATGTCTCGTCTCACCAGATCCCACATCCAGTTCTATTCCAACCGTGCGGAGTCGTGTCACTGTCATCAGGGCAACCTCCTTGATGTAAATATCAAGGGCAGTGTGATTAAGAATAACTAAGAGGGAAAGTCCACTCACGCGACACGTCGCGCGCGACTGAACGCGAGGCGTCGCGCGCGTCAATATTTTAGATGTTTCTAAATGACTTAAAGCCCATAAACGAGGTTCTGTCGCGTAGTCGCACGCGGCTGTAAATTAGAAATGAGAAGCCCGCGTTTTTTCCTGCCGCACGCGGTCAGCGTTATCATGGATACATATGGAGCATCACTCATACAAACGTCAAGTCGCGTGCGAAACGTCAGTCGAGAGTTAACTTTTCTACAGTTCCAGTGAAAAAATGTCCGACAGTGGTATTGATATAGATGAATTTATATCCGATATTCAAGACCGACATCAAATATTAAACAGTTAATTGAAAGAAAATAGCGACAAAAATATTAGGAAGAAATTATGGGAAGAAATTGTTAACAACAAATTTGTAACACATCAAGTGAAGGTTACAACCTAGCTGCTTCGGTACTACCTGTAGGCTATCCTTCATCTATACATTTGTCAAATCCACAAGGTCACTTGCAGTCATCGAAAAGTAACAACTTTCAGAGTATTGAGTTCTGTGACCTTTTTAATTAAATGTTGTTTTCAATTAATAAATAAACCTTACCTCAAAGTTTTCTTTCCGGACATATACTATCGCGAAAATGTGTATTTTGTCTTTGTATTTGTTCGAGAATCTGCGCTAGCAGTTCGTCAAACAACATATATAGGGCGCTTACTAATATTCAACAAAATGATGTACTGATGATGGATCACGTGACCAATATATGGCCGAATGCTGGAATCCTGATTTTGATCTGATGAAAATTATTTAAGAACGACTGACATTTATGATTTTGTAATCTTAACTGTCAAACTGTCTTTAATGAAAACAAACTAATTCGAACACTTTTTGATGAGCATAAAAACTAAATACAAGTATGGGTAATACAATAATATGTACTTGCCTTCATTTGCTTGCTGTACATCTAACGCTAATAATCTTATTTTAAAAGTTAGTTTAAAAAACCCAGTGAGTTTCTTCATTCATATTATTAGTAATTTTAAGCAAACTTTTCCTATTTCCTTATCTGTTTAATATTAATTAATCATTTAAGGTTATGTCACGTGATACATCAATACATCAACATAATCGAGTTGATGGATTTGGTGACAACCATCTGAGAATTAGGTTGAATTTAAGAATATGATGTATGACTCATCTAAAAAATTTTGATGGATAAAAGAACAGTTTTGATGAAATCTAGGTGGCATCGATGAATATTAGAAAACGCCTATAATAAATTACATGCGCCTTTTACAAAAGGGTCTATAAATAATGGATAAACCCAGTATTTACGTCGTTTCACTTTTTTCCGCCGCCTGAATAAAACAACATCGTTGCTACTTCTTCCACCTCCATTTTAATACTGAACGTATGTGTCGCTGCTTGTCGTTTGTTAAAAATCGCACCTAAAAAATCGGATGCGGCAGGTCGCGCGCGACATGTCGCGTGAGTGGGCTTTCCCTCTAAGATTAGGGCGATGAAAGGAAGTTGTGAAATAGAAAACAATATCTGTATTGGATCTGGTATCTTTTGTCGTAAGCTAAAAGAACGTTTGTAATAAATGTCCATAACAAACACAAGAAAAGATTAATGATATTGTGTTTACAGTAATTGTCATCCTAGAAACTAACGACAAAATATCCCATTTACAACAAGAATGTTTTCAATCATTCCAGTCGTTCCATAAAAGTCTTGTTTTATGGATTGTATCACTTATTGCATTTTTACATCAATAGAAGTAATTGTTAATCAAATAGACGTATCACTTATTGATTTTATTTCGCGAACATTCCAGATAGAATGCTGACGACAAAAGAAATACAATTAAGTGTTATCGGATTCCCATGTGTTTGGATACTGACAACTCTCCAATTTCAAATAGAAAGTTAAATCAGATAAATTCATCGAATGACCTAAGGACCATTCAATGATCTGTAAACAGTAGTTTGATTTTTGAAACTATAAATTTACACCTCGGATAGAATCACCAATCGAACTATGATGAATTGTTAAGCTATTTTCAGATAAACGAACCAGAGATGAATGTATCATATGACTTAATTGAAATAATACAGGCGATAATCTCTAAAAAACGTTATATAAGTAATTTAATCTTTTTTAGAAAATAATGGAAAATCTAATTAGCTAAAAATCATTGGAATGGTCAAAATATAATTTATCCAAAACCAATGAAAAATACGAGGAGTAGTGCTAAAGTTCGCAGGTTTAAGTACTCCTTGTATTGCCAGGGTTCTACGATTAATTGTCATAATAAAGTATAAAAGTTATAATGAATAATACTTTTATTATTTACCATAACAGATACGTTTTACAATAATAAATAGTAGTAAATAAATTGAACAGTATTAGGTTCAAAAACCGATTCTTCTCCATTAAAAAATAAACTAAAATACAGTTCTATAATACCATTAGTTTCAAAATTATAATTATATTTTATTAATACATATAAAAATTAAATTTCTATGTATATGATACTAGTTTTGTTCTGCTAATAACATTTTTTTTTAGTTTTTCTCAAACATTCTATGGATATACTACAACTGTTACATTCACCAGGTTTTCATAACAAGATATTTAATAAGAAAATGAGCTTTTATACAATATTGTTCATTATGAGTGATGGTATCAATAATATCCCTTCTTAGATTTAAATTATATATATATATATATATATATATATATATATATATATATATATAGAAGGGTAGTCGTTGCTGACTTAGTAGAAATATAACCAATTATTGGAGAATTCAGCAAATAATATGTGAAAGAAAACTCTTTTTACTTCATCCAAGCTTTCGGAAATTTATTAATTAATTTCCATCATCAGGGTAGACTACAAATAATGTTGGAAAATAGTTACAATGGACCAAAATAAACTAAAGTTACTGCTTACAATAAGTTGAGATTGTACACTAGATGTTCTAACAAATTAAATAATATTTTGACAAAGCAAAAGTAAACAATACAGCAATTGTTTTTGAAAAAACGGCCACCTACAGAAACGCCTGATAATTATACACCAGCCCAATATTATTTATTTTAGAATTTAGTCATATATTTGTAATTTTAAAATGTTTTCTTACATTTTTGAAAATGTTGATAATAAATTATTTAAATGAAATGACAACTTTGTTTCTACGTTCATCTCATCTGGGAAACATTTCTAGACTATTAAGCACATCAAGAATTCTGTATTCATATAAACGTTACTGTTGCTTCCTTTTTATTTCAAATATCGAGACAGAAATATTTGTCTTAATAGTTCGATTCATGCGAAATGTTTTTGAGCAGGATTTTCCGGAAAATCGGCACGATAATGTATTTCGCAGAAACAATAGAAATGAAAAATACAGTAGTGCACGTGGATCTTCATTATTCCCATCAACTTTTCAACTGTGAGTAGAATGAATGAAAGATGAAAGCGGATCTTATCTTAGTTCGCGGAAACTCAGGTGATCTGTTTACTAGATCCACGTCATTTATTATTTACCATTACAGTGATTGATATAAGTTAACAATGCACAGAGAATTTGTAGGAACACTACAACATATTCGTTCAAAAATCAACGAAACCAAATTCCAGAAATTATTTAAGCTTTTTCCCAACCTGTTGGAGACGATCTATACCGAGTATTTTAAAATAAGAGTTGAATATTTTAACAACGTATTATGCAGAAGATGATTATGGTGAAGATGCTTTTCTGACGATATTTTCAAAACCGGCACACATAAATATTTAAAATTTTTAATTTCTCTTAGAATTGATGTTCTAAATTCAAAAACTTTGTCCTTCCAACGTTACAACTAAGGGGGAGTGGTGTAAAAAAGTACTATCTTCTACAAATTATTATTTTTAATAGCATACTTATAAAATTCAACCTTTATATGACAAAAAGGTACTCCTGGTTCACGCCATGCATGCTAAATTTAGACGTAGTATTCCAAAAATATACAAGATTTTTTATAACATAGAAAACTAACTTAGCCGTGAAAACTAAAATTTTTGAAATACTGCGGCAAAATTTAGATTGCATAGCGTTTTTTGAAGCGGTATGCCTGGAAAACTATCGATGCAAACTAAGAGTACCTTTTTCTCATAAAAAAGTATGGTCTCAAAAATAATAAAATATAGAGGATATAAAATGTTAGTACCCTCCCTTAAGTGTGGCATCTCAATAAGAAGGGTAAAGTTTTTGAACTTGTTATCACATTCAGAATATTAGGTTTAAGATAAATCTAAAACTTGAAGTAATTATCATATCGGTTTCGAAAATATGGTCAGAAAACCATCTTCAAGTGGTTCTTTTCAAAGGAGAGTTACTTCGTTCAACTTATATAATACGAAGTCAAAATATTTACGTATTTTGGAACACCCTGCATATATCATTGTTGTTTACTGATAACGGTGACAACGTAAACTATGCACTTGTAATAATGTCCTAAATGAATATGATTATAATTATTTCTTACAGTAGATCAGTTTTGTCAAGTATATAGGGCCAAAATGATTCTTTGTACATAAGTAATAAAGTATACATAAATGTTGCAGCTCACCTGTAATCCATCGTACGTCCAGCTTCCGAATTTCATTTCACACCGCTGGTCATCGAACGGAAACCATGTTATATCAATTTTACATGTGCTTTTGAATATACCAGGTGGTACATACAGACAACTGCCATTATTCCGAACAACTACATTTGTGGGATAAGTTCCATCGAAACCTTCATCAGCACTGAAAAAAATATGTATTCGTTATGAAACGTTTTCATAGCAATTCATGAAATTTTATTTATAATAATTTCTCAGATAGTACTATGTTGAGAGTAGCCTTCTCAAAAAATTGACCATTTCAGATATATTCGATAGAATGGTGGAATGTTCGAGATCCTTCACCTCTGTATATAGATATATTATTTGTTGTTGGAGCAGTTAGTTTAATATACATATTCGAATTTTAAAGATAAATATTGATATAAATTAGTATAGGAGTATAAGTGTTTGAAATATAAGTAATGCAGCTATAAAAAATAAGTATTTGAGATAAATTACCGTTAAGTTGTAAATAAATTAGTGAGTATAGTTGTAAATAAAATAAATGATAAACTGTTTGAAATAAATAAATGTTACATTGGTGTAAGAAGTAGTATACTGTAAATAAATAGTAAGTAAAAATGGCTAAAAAACTATGTGAAATAAAAGTGACCGAGCTACGTCGGGAAATAGAGGATTGTGAACTGGAGACGACAAGAAAGAAACCAGAGTTAAAAAACCAATAGAAAGTGAGGGTTTCGATGCGGAGACGTATATGTTTTGTGATGATGTGTTTTCTACTATTTCTTTCAGTTTCTACTAAGGTTTCTTCTATTAAAATGATATTTCCTTCCTTAGATAATGTCTTCTATAGAAAATAAAGTTTAGTCTGATATTTATTGCTTAGAGGAAAGGGTATGTTCTGAAATGTCTTCTGTGAAAATTAGTCTCCTCTGATACAAGAGAATTTAAAACAACAGGAAAAGGCAAGAGTAGAGTTAGAAAGACAAATTAGAGCTGAAATGGTGTAGTTCGAAAGAAGAATTCGCAGCCAAGCTTCAGTAAGCAACATTGAAGTTGAAAACACTACCTCATCTTCATCCATAATCGAACCAAGCCATATTCGAATCCCAGTTTCACAAAACTATACTAGTAAGACTCTTAAGCCACCCACGTTTGACGGTCAGACAACATGGGAAACCTATCAACTCCAATTTGAAGCTGCAGCTAGAACCAATGGCTGGACCGTGAAAGAGATGGCGGCTTCATTGATAGTGTCACTGCGAGGTCAGGCAGCAACCGTTTTACAGTTACTTCCCCAAGAAGAACCCAGTTATTCATGTATCGTCCAAGCTTTGAAGACAAGATATGACCAGCAGCATTTGAAACAGGTATTCCAAAGCCAGCTAAAGGTTCGTAGTCAGAATGAGAGTCTACAAGAATTCGAAGCCGATATTAAAAAATTGCTGCATCTGGCCTATCCACAGGCTCCTAAAAATTTCTAAGAACAAATCGGAATGCAAGCATTTATTGATGGACTACAGGATGTGGAAATGCAGCAGGTTCTTCAGCTACAACACCCTAAACGTTAAGTGAGACACTGATTGCAGCCCAGGAATACGAAGCAGCAAAAACTATATCTAGATCTTCACGCGCAAAATTGAGAGAAATTAGATTCCAGGAAAGTGAAGAGGCCAACTACTAAAACTATCCTTCAACCTACCCTCTCACACATCCTAAATATCCTGCAAAATATGCAACGAAATAGCCAAAATGAGAGCATAAGATGCTTAAATTGTGGAACCATCGGACACCTTCAAAGAACCTGTCGAAGCAGGGATCGTTCGATGAATCGAGAATCGGAGAATGATGCTAGAAATTCAACTAAATCAACCTTCCAAAACCCGTCACAAAGTCCAACAAGAAATAATTACAGCAGATATGCCTTCCGGAGAAGCCGGTTACCCACACCTAGCCGGCTTTCTAATAATAGTCAGGAAAACGAATAAAGGTCGACACTACGGGGCAGGCGTCGGCTGTGACAGAGGGCCCTAAAAGTAACACTTACACCTTTAATAAAAACGAACAAAATCTATTGGTCAAGGGATATATCGATAACCAAGAAGGCACCTTCGTCCTTGATACTGGTGCAACTAAGTCTTTCATTCGAATAGGGATCCTGCATCGAAAAACACGACCAACTCGAAGAAGCTTAGTTCTGGAAACAGCTACAGGGCACACTACTCCTGTTCTAGGCGAGATATCAGCAACCGTACAGATTGGTGTAAGGAATGTGATCTTTTTTATGGCAGAAAAGGGCCCAAAACAAGAAGTTAAGGTAAAATGGCACAGTACCTTTCCGGAGAACCTTTCGAACGAATAGCCATAGATATCCTCGGACCACTTCCCTTAACAGAAAGAGGAAACAAATATTTGTTGGTTGTTATGAACTATTTTTCAAAGTGGCCCGAAATAGTGCCTATTCCTAACCAGGAAGCGACGACAGTAGCGGAAGCATTTATGACGAACGTTATTGCGAGTTATTGCGAGTCCCCCTGGAATTATATTCTGACCAAGGACGAAATTTTGAATCCGAATTATGGCAAGAATTGATGAAATTGTTAGGCATCAAGAAAACACGCGCTACGCCTCTCCACCCACAGTCCGACGGAATTGTAGAAAGACACAATAGAACGATATGCCAGTATCTTTCAATGTTCGTATCTGATAATCAAAATGACTGGGACACTTTAATTCCTCTATTTCTGCTAGCCTACCGAAGTTCTGAACATGAAACGACCAGTTATGATGATTACTTGAAGGGAGATGATCTTCTTTTTGCAAGGCAGCCTCCTGGTGAAGAAGAGGGCCGTACACCTCCCACGTATATACAGAACTTAAGAGAATGATTTGAAAAAGTATACGAATTCCCTCGGCAACGTTTGAAAGTTAATAGAGATAAAGCAGAAGCTAGAATCGACGTTCTTGCCTCAGGAACACAGTTTGAGAGAGGCGATCGAGTATGGCTGTACAATCCCAATCGCCGAAAAGGACTTTGTCAGAAACTGCAACGAATCTTCCCCGTTGGCTTCATCCAGGTCCCGGTAATCAAGGTATTCGGGGCCAATAACTAGAGAAGAGGGAGCAATGTTACGCAGCATCCTGCAGTAGCCTGCGACTGTTACTCATCGGCCTTCAGTGTGCTGCGGTCGTCATAAGTAAAAGTAGTAGCAAAAGAAGATAAATGTCATTCCACGTCAAGGAAAAGTCTAGACAGTTCGAGAAGATTAAATCAAGCTATATATGCAGTGATTCTGACGTCAGTTTTTCAGTTTTCATGATAGACGTTACATGTTAATGTTATGTGACCTGTCACAAAACATTTCTCGATGTCTTATCCGCTGCTCTTGAGTATGAGGCAGCTACGCAGATTTCTGGGAGAAACAGTGAAGTGAGTTTGTAAAAGAGGAAGAAGAGAAAATTTAACAGGTGCTGGAATTGCGGTGAACTGAGACATGTACACAAATACTAGAAAAACTAGAGCAGGTCGGCATAAGGAGGGCAATTTTAACCTGAATCTGTTTCAAAGATAGCCTCTTTGAACTGTGGCGATGATTGTGTAAACGTAGACGGCCAAGTAAATGGTAGAAAGTATACACTGTTGGTGGATACTGAAGAAACCAGCACCATGATTGGTCGTATAATGCATTATACGACCAACAACCATAAATAACCGCAACCCAACAAGGTTACGACTGCGGCAAGTGAAAATAAAGGGGAAATCCAGTGTCAATTAAGAAAAATTCACTAATACTGTTTTTGTAGCTGATATTGAAGAAGATATACTAGGAATGGATGTAATGAACTTACATGGTTTGCAGTTGCTAAAGCTTTAGTACAAATGAACCACAACCTAATTCAAATAGATACATACACTAATTAAACATTTAAATTAACTTTAATTTTTCGAATATTAACTTCAGATACTCAACATTATTTGAAGAGGTGATCTGCATATCAAAGTTTTTGAAAAATTGTCAAAATTGAGTTAGCCATGAGATATTATATTTTCAATAGTCTTCTACACGATAAACCTAATTTGAAAGGACAAATCGCTGTTTTTCTCTATGTAATAGCAAGTGAAAACTTGTGATGTTCTGCAAAGCGCAGTCTTTGGTTTCAAGTAGGAAAAACAAAAGCAGTTTATTACTCAATACTTGAAAACTCACTGACAGTTGCGTGATGTGCATATTATACTTTTTTGTTCTGTTGCTCCTAAGTAACGTATACTTTCAAAAATAAAAATGCAGTTTCTGGTTTTCTTTTTCTTACAATTCAGCACGATATATTTTTACAAGTAAGTGTAGTCATTTTATTACTTTCAAAATTCGAGAAACTATATTTGATTCACCATTCTACTTTTTCATTAATGCACATTAAAAAAACTTCTTTATCTCAAAACGATTTTTTTTCAAAAACTGTGGTTTGGAGAACATTCTCAACAAATAAATGCAGAAGTTTTAATGAAATATATTCAACTCATCTATTATATTATTTTTAACTTTTAAGTTTGGAACGAGCCAACCTAAATTAATTACCTGACGCCAATATCAAAGTAATATTCGTTTTAGTTTTAATTATGACGCATTTAAAGTGGGACTTATTAAATTTTCCAATTCATCATTCATAAAAGTGTTGGAGTACATACTTTGTTGTATTACAGAGTTATCACTTTTTTAATTATTTTCTGAATGATAGTGATTTAATAAATAGAATTCTAAAAATTACAATTTGAACAATTATTTTTTTTACCGTTAATTTTAAATTGAAAATAGTGTTCACCATTGTTTATCCTATTATTTAGAGTTTTAAATTACTGATGTAGAAAATTCTCTACAGTTAACGCTCTAAGTTCCTTTACATTTATTTATTTTTGGCATTGGTTGTTCAAACGACGGATTTTTTTGGATAGCTGTTAATTATCTAATCAGATTGACTTTGTTTTCGTTTACACTGGAACTGTGCCTAATCATATAAAAAAGAACACGGACCATGTATCTTTTTATTCAATTTCACCTTTACGGGTTGGAATTCCTTTAACACAAAAAAAAACGCACAAAATCAAAGGATGCGGCAGAATGTTTAGATTATGGATCATTTAATTCCCTACTGTAGTAGTTCGAAATACAAATTTGGTTTATA